AAGGGCCTGTACTGCGCTGTAATGTTCTATGTTCTATGTTCTATGTTTATTTCATCTGTCTATCCCTCTGTCACGCTATTTATTTCTCTTTCTATAACTATTCATCCTTCCATCTTACTATCTCTCTTTCCCTATATAAATATAAGTATCTGTCCATCTATGCTATTATCTGTTCCCCCCCGCCTTTATATGTCCCTCTCTCTATCCCTCCATTCCTCCCTCGTCTTCAGTCTGCATTTCCATTAGAGTTATTGACCTGTAATAGAATTGCTTATTGGTGGGATACTTTCATTGACAGGGCTGCCAACCAATGAGATTGAAGATTTGATCGCGGCCCAACTTATATCTGATCATTCTGATTGGTGCAATATATTTCATTGGTGAATCTGTGAACCAATGAGAGATCACTAAGAACCCAACCCATTGGGTACATTGGAATGGTTCAAAATGACAACTGGACATAATTTACCAGCTGCATGTCAGGAAGGTATTAAATAGAATAGTTATATCTCAGGTCAGCTACATCCGTGAGAGATTATAGTGGGCCCATCGAGATCTTTATTCCTCTTAAAACAGGAAATAGGAATGTAAATGATGAAATGTGTTGATGGAAAGGAAGTTATTTATCAGATAAAATTATCTGTCATGAGTCTATTTTGCAATATTTGCAAAGGACAAACACCAGCCTGCGTTTATCTAACGCCTTTAATGTGGATAAACATCCCAATGCTTTACAATAGCAATAGCAGGCGAAACCTCACACTGAGCTGATATACGCTGGTTGGTCAAATGGCCTTTTTCTGTGCTGTGTATTCTAAAAGCTGCATTAAAGGTTAAACTACTAGGACCAGGAAATTGAAAACTTTATTTGCATGATATCACACATCAGACGGAATTCTATCCAGACAAATATCACTTTGACTGAAAAATATTCGTCGAAGATTTGTCTGTGAGGAGCATTAATTCTTTCATTGTTCGCTTATTTCAGACCCTGGTTGAGACTGTCTCCTGTGGAGGGAATCTCTTGATGAATATTGGCCCCACGCATGATGGACGCGTACTCCCCATTTTTGAGGAGCGGCTGAGGCAGATGGGGCAGTGGCTCCAAGTAAATGGGGAAGCAATATATGATACAAAGACCTGGAGAGTGCAGAATGATAGCATCACTCCTGGAGTCTGGTAGGTTTATAAAGAACAAAGCCTGGGAGGCTGCTTTAGGGGCAGAGGTGGCAATTTTTATTCTTGGGGCGGCCACTGTCCGTCACAACTAGGCCTCAGGACGCATGCCGAAATTAGATTAAGTAAAGTTCTAATTGTCCATTGAAGATTTTTTTTAAACTCTCTAATTGATTGTGCAAAAACAATTCATGCAGTTACTTTTTCTTAATCTGTTATGAAGCGAGCATCGGAAATTATAGTCGATAGGAGTGGAGCTGGACAAAGACAAGACAGACAGACAGCATCAGAGGAGCAGGAAAGTCAATATTTTGGGCTGAAGCCCTTCGTTAGGACTGGGGAGGGGGACGGGAGCCCAGGAACGGGGTGGGGCTGTGGGAAGGGTGTGTGGGGTAGTGATAGGGAGTTATTGTGATAGGTCAGTGGGAATGGTGGAGTGGATAGGTAAGTAGGAAGATTGACAGGTTAGGTCAGGTCAGGGAGGCGAGGAGGAGGGGGAGGGCTGGAGTTGGGATCGCACCATCCCACCCACCTTTCCCCAGCCCCACCCACTTCCTCTATTTATTTCTGAGCTCCCCTCCCCCTCCCCAGTCCTGACGAAGGGTTTCAGCCCGAAACGTTGACTTTCCTGCTCCTCGGATGCTGTCTGACCTGCTGTGCTTTTCCAGCTCCAGATTTATTGACTCCAGCTTCCAGCATCTGCAGTCCTTACTTGTCTCCAAGTCATTGGTATTTATCGTTCCACTTCAAAGCATCTATCACTACTTGGGTTAAACTGTGATTCAGATATTGCAAGGTTATGAAATCAGTCCTATAATACTAGGCCCATGATGATAATCCCTGTGCTAATGTCAACAGATAGAGAGAAATAGCAGTTTTTGTTTTTAACATTCCAGAGAGTTTTTCTCCAATATTTAAAGGGCAGGAATTTCAAATGTCTTAACAACTCTGATGTAGAGTTACAGAGACTTGAAACGTTGGCTTGCTGTCTCTCTGCACATGCTGCCTGACCTGCTATATTTCCAGCATTTTTTGTTTTCTTACCACCTTTCTGGTTGCTTTTGACAGTTATAGTGTGATTGACAGCATTGGTGAGTTTATGCACATTCATGTCACTCCTAAAAATCTCAAGGTACACCTCACGTCTCCCAAAGGGCACTGGAGACCACCCCCACCCCCCCTCCACCCCACAGGGCATCCTGGGACTCTATCCAAAGGGGTAAGGGTACTTGTGCAAAATGGCATACTAACTGTTCAAGCAGCTTCGTAACGTTTAAAGCTGCTCCGACAGATGTAACATCACATTTTCTGTTTCCCACTCCTGGCTGAGAAGAATCGGAGATGACTGCGAGGCAGTTTCTATCTGACAAGGGCAGTCTGCGACAATGCAGATTTTAAATCCATCCCCCTACATCCCAGCCCCAGTCCCCATGAGAAATGTAGCTTCAGTGTTCAGATTTTACATGTGTTGACATTTTGGTAACGGTGGACAGACCATAAAGCTGTAAGATGTAGGAGCAGAATTAGTCCATGCAGCCCATCGAATCTGCTCCACTACTCAATCATGACCAATATATTTCTCAATGCCATTTTTCTACCTTCTCCCTGTAACCCTTGATCCCGTTACTAATGGTTGTTGCAGGTTCCGGGGTTTAGATGTTTCAGTAAGATCAGGGAAGGTGGTAAAACAGGGGGAAGTGCGGCATTGTTAGTCAAGGACAATATTACGGTGGCAGAAAGGACATTTGATGACAACTCGTCTACTGAGGTAGTATGGGCTGAGGTTAGAACCAGGAAAAGAGAGGTCACCCTGTTGGGAGTTTTCTATAGGCCTCCGAAAAGTTCCAGAGATGTAGAGGGAAGGATTGCAAAGATGATTCTGGATAGGAACGAAAGTAACAAGGTAGTTGTTATGGGGGACTTTAACTTTCCAAATATTGACTGGAAACACTATAGTTCGAGTACTTCAGATGGGTCAGTTTTTGTCCAATGTGTGCAGGAGGGTTTTCTGACACAGTATGTAGATAGGCCAACAAGAGGCGAGGCCACATTGGATTTGGTACTGGGTAATGAACCAGGCCAGGTGTTAGATTTGGAGGTAGGTGAGCACTTTGGTGATAGTGACCACAATTCGGTTACGTTTACTTTAGCGATGGAAAGGGATCGGTATATACCGCAGAGTAAGAGTTATAGCTGGGGGACAGGCAATTATGAGGCGATTAGGCAAGATTTAGGATGCATAGCATAGAGAAGGAAACTGCAGGGGCTGGGCACAATTGAAATGTGGAGCTTGTTCAAGGAACAGCTACTGCGTGTCCTTGAGAAGTATGTTCCTGTCAGGCAGGGAGGAAGTGGCCGAGTGAGGGAACCATGGTTTACTAAAGAAGTTGAATCTCTTGTCAAGAGGAAGAAGGAGGCTTATGTAAAGATGAGGCGTGAAGGCTCAGTTAGGGCGCTTGAGAGTTACAAGTTAGCCAGGAAGGACCTAAAGAGAGAGCTAAGAAGAGCCAGGAGGGGACATGAGAAGTCTTTAGCAGGTAGGATCAAGGAAAACCCTAAAGCTTTCTACAGGTATGTCAGGAATAAAAGAATGATTAGAGTAAGATTAGGGCCAGTCAAGGACAGTAGTGGGAAGTTGTGCGTGGACTCCGAAGAGATAGGAGAGGCGCTAAATGAATATTTTTTCGTCAGTATTCACACAGGAAAAAGACAATGCTGTCGAGGAGAATACTGAGATACAGGCTATTAGACTAGACGGGATTGAGGTTCATAAGGAGGAATTCTGGAAAGTGTGAAAATAGATAAGTCCCCTGGGCCGGATGGGATTTATCCTAGGATTCTCTGGGAAGCTAGAGAGGAGATTGCAGAGCCTTTGGCTTTGATCTTCATGTCGTCATTGTCCACAGGAATAGTGCCAGAAGACTGGAGACTAGCAAATGTTGTCCCCTTGTTCAAGAAGGGGAGTAGAGACAACCCTGGTAATTATAGACCAGTGAGCCTCACTTCGGTTGTGGGTAAAGTGTTGGAAAGGATTATAAGAGATAGGATTTATAATCATCTAGAAAGGAATAATTTGATTAGGGATAGTCAACACGGTTTTGTGAAGGGTAGGTCGTGCCTCACAAACCTTATTGAGTTCTTTGAGAAGGTGACCAAACAAGTGGATGAGGGTAAAGCGGTTGATGTGGTGTATATGGATTTCATGAAGTGTTTGATAAGGTTCCCCATGGTAGGCTGTTGCAGAAATACGGAGGCATGGGATTGAGGCTGATTTAGCGGTTTGGATCAGAAATTGGCTAGCTGTAAGAAGACAGAGGGTGGCGGTTGATGGAAAATGTTCATCCTGGAGTTCAGTTACTAGTGGTGTACCACAAGGATCTGTTTTGGGGCCACTGCTGTTTGTCATTTTTATTAATGACCTGGATGAGGGCGTAGAAGGATGGGTTAGTAAATTTGCGGATGACACCAAAGTTGGTGGAGTTGTGGATAGTGCGGAAGGATGTTGCAGGTTACAGAGGGACATAGATAAGCTGCAGAGCTGGGCTGAGAGGTGGCCAATGGAGTTTAATGCAGAAAAGTGTGAGGTGATTCACTTTGGAAGGAGTAACAGGAATACAGAGTACTGGGCTAATGGTAAGATTCTTGGTAGTGTGGATGAGCAGAGAGATCTCGGTGTCCATGTGCATAGATCCCTGAAAGTTGCCACCCAGGTTGATAGGGTTGTTAAGAAGGCATACGGTGTGTTAGGTTTTATTGGTAGGGGGATTGAGGAGCTGTGAGGTCACGTTGCAGCTGTACAAAACTCTGGTGCGGCCGCACTTGGAGTATTGCGTACAGTTCTGGTGGCTGCATTATAGGAAGGATGTGGAAGCATTGGAAAGGGTGCAGAGGAGATTTACCAGGATGTTGTCTGGTATGGAGGGAAGGTCTTATGAGGAAAGGCTGAGGGATTTGAGGCTGTTTTCGTTAGAGAGAAGAAAGTTAAGAGGTGACTTAATAGAGACATACAAGATGATCAGAGGATTAAATAGGGTGGACAGCGAGAGCCTTTTTCCTCGGCCTGTACTGCGCTGTAATGTTCTATGTTCTATGTTCTAATCAAGAACGTACCTATCTCTGTCTTAAATATACTCAATGGCTTAGCCTCCACAGCTGTCTGCAGCAACAAGTTCCACAGATTTACTTCCTCTTCATCTCAGTTCTGAAGGGTCTTCCCTTCACTCTGAGGCTGTGCCCTTGTGTCCTAGTCTCTCCTGCTACAAGAAACATCTCCACATCCACTCTATCCAGGCTACTCAGTATTCTGTAAGTTTCAATCAGATTCCCCTCATCCTTCTAAATTCCATTGAGTACAGACCCACAGCCTTCAACTGCTCCTTTTTAACAAGCCCGTTGACCCTGAAATCAGTCCTGTAAACCTCCTCTGGACTATCTCCAAGGTCAGCACATCCTTCCTTTAATATTCCTCTCTGCCAGTATTTTGACCTACTCATTTCTCATAAGAACAGGGGGAGAGAGTTTAGCCACACAAACCTGTTCCACCATTCAGTCAGGCCATAGGTCATCTACAGTCTAGCTCTACATAGCTGCCCTGATCCCACTTTCATTAATGCCTTTGGCCTCCTCATTTAGAGATGGCTGTCATTACCCAGGCCCTCGTTTCCATTCTAAAAGTGTGAGGGTGCCAACATGGTTTGTCAATTATTGGAGACATTTTATCTTCTGAAAATGGATTGTCTGTTTTACCAGGTATACGTCTTCAGCGGAGAAGGGGGTGATTTATGCAATATTCCTCACCTGGCCAAAACTGGGATTACTTGCCCTTGGAGCTCCCCATGTTACAACAGGAAGAACAAAGGTTTGAATCATTGAACAATGGGCAATGGCGTGATAGAAGTGGGTAGCGTCCCTGCCTCTGAGCCAGAGGCTGTGGGTTCAAGCCCCATCCTGGGTCTTGATGGGTCGAGAAAGATGCGTCCATAACATGGCCACAGAGGTGGACTGTCAGCTTGTTAAATCCTCCCACCAATGGCAGGCAGTAAGAAGTGGGATTCCTGTCTAGCCATGTGATGGAAGTAAATTACAGCTGCTATTGTCATTATGCCCAGGCTGTAATACACATGCAGAATGTGTGTTTCCACAGCAATTCATCATCTTCGGAAGACTAGCTGGGTCATTTGGCAGAAAGACGAGCGTGGATTAGATTGGAATGAGCAGCATGGGGTTCAGTCACCTTTCTGGCTGGAATGAATGCAGGACTTTATTCATGCCTTGCCCCCTGGTGGTGATCATGGTACAGCAAACCTTGTTTTAACCAGCACCTTACGAATCGGTACTCTCGACAAAACCGGCAAAAATTATATACCTCAAAGACTGCAAAGCTTACTGTATAATTCTGTCCAATTAGTATAGCTTTTTAAAATTTATTTACCTCATTGTGAATATACTTGTTCAATTGAATGGCCACATGAAATACCATCAGTTGATTCAATTTCGAGTCAATTTCTTCTCAAATACTGTGATGTACCACGATGTCCGAGTAGTCAGTTGAGGGTATGAATGAGAAGGCTCTCTGCCGATAAGTTTTATTTAAGGCAAAGTTGCATTATTATAGAAGTGATTTATGCTGTAAATAAAGTACAGCAGTGATGTGAATACCCCCTGCATGACGTTTCTATTTCTTAATGTGTGTTTTATATTGATTATGTGGACCTCTTGATCAACTGGAATATTTGATCAACTGGCACAGTCCTGGTCCCACAGGTTTGGTTTGTTTTATTATTGCCACATGTGAGAAGTTTTGTTTTACATGCAATACAGGCAGATCATACCATACAAATGCATTAAGGTAATAGAACAGAGCGAGGAATGCAATGACACAGCTGCAGAGAAGGTGAGCAAAGAGCAGGGTCAACATTAACTTTAAAGTTTGATAGGTCCATTCAAAAGTCTAATAACAGCAGGGAAGAAGCTGTTCTTGAATCTGTTCTTATGTGTGTCTAAACTTTTATATCTTCTGCCCAATGGAAGATGGTGGAAGAGAGTATAATGGGAGTGGAAGGGGGTCTTTGATTATGTCCTTTGCTTTCCCAAGGCAGCATGAAGTACAGATGGAGCCACTGGAAGCAAGGCTGGTTTGTGGGATGGACTGGGCTGTATTCGCAACTCTCTGTAATTTCTTTCAGTCTTGGGAAGAGCAGTTGCTTTCTTTGGTGCATAGAAAGTTGGTAAGGATCTTTGTGGTCTCTTACCAATTGTGCCAGGTAATAAAAGGTTTGCTGTACTGTGGGTCAGATCTGGCTTTGCAGAAGGTGACAGAGAAAAATTGAATGATATCGGACGAAGCTTCAGTCCAACTTTTGTATCATCAAGGTGATGTGTATACATGTGTATTATTTTAAATTAATATTTAATATTGAAGTATTTTTTACAAATAAGGTAACCCTCATTGGATACCCCAAGCCCCTGCAATGGGAGAAGATTGGAGATCAGGGACTGGAGGTGCTAATGCCTGAAGTCAACAGTGAACAACTGCCCTGTCAATGGGCCTGGAGCCTGAAACTCAGTGATATAGCTTGATGAGATGAGAAATCAGGGATTTCTGCTCTGTATGGCTGGGTCTCAGCAATCGACACACAGCATTTCTTTGCGTTCTTGCTTGTTTTGTTTAATTTTTTTTTAATTTTGGAAATGAGAAATTTCAGTTCCTGAAAAATGTTTTGGATTGACCTGATGTAGAAAGTGATTTTGTTGGTGTGTGTCAAGGCTGATGTATGATTAATTTTTTTTTTAACCTCTCTGCCCTTGTTCTTATTTGTGAAGCTGTAAAACACTGATGCTGTTTGAACTCGGTACCAAACCAAAAATGTTCGAAGCCATCTGTCTGATGATTAGGTTGCTGCTTGCCTTGATGTGAGGTCTCCTGCCTTAGTTTATAATCATTCAACATGGGCCTGATACAAGCAGGTGAAAGGCTAATTAGATTGTCTGAGTGCTTAACCATGGGTGAGTGCAATGGTCAGAGGGATTGGTGCTTTAGGGTGGAATTTCATCTTGGACAATAGTTTAAAATGAGTGAGTGTGCATTGGCTGGCTGTTATAGGCCTGGCACAATGCCTAGTGCCATTCCCAGGTTGGTATATGTCAGATTACTTCATGCCAAATCAACGTGGTCTAATTTACACCCCATTAATTGCTGGTTCAGTAACTGTTTACATGAACATCATAGAATCCTTATAGTGCAGAAAGAGGCCATTCAACCCATCGAGTCTGCACCGACCCTCTGAACAGTGTCACAGCCTCCACCCTATCCCCACATTTCCCTTGACTAACCACCAATCCTGCACCTCCCTGGATACTATGGGCAATTTAGCATGGTCAATGCACCTAACCTGCACGTCTTTGGACTGTGGGAGGAAATCAGAGGAAACTCACACAGACACGGGGAGAACATGCAACCTCCAAGCTGGGATTGAAGCCAGGTCCCTGGCGCTGTGAGGCAGTAAGTGCTAACCACTGAGCCACACATATAGCACTTTTAGTAAACGTCCCAATGTTCCAAGCACAATCAGTCAAGATCTATCGCCAAGTTGTAAAATGAGATATGAAGATCAGCAACCTGAAGACAAAGTGGAGAACTGGGGGCTGGTATTCCAAATTCCATTGCTCAGGCAGGATCTGCACGGGAATCCAGAATGGAGAGGAGTGCAGAGGGCTCAGAGGGTCGTGGGCTGAAGGAGATTACAAAGATAGAGCGAGGAAAGGCCGAGAAGGAATTTGGAAACAAGGATGAGGATTTAAAACTGAGCTGTGCCAGACTGGGGAAATGAGTGGAGATGATGGAGAATAGGACTTGGAGCAGGCTAGGATACCGATAGCAGTGTTCCAGGCAGAAGATGGGCATCCAGCCAGGCGAACATTGGAAAAATAATCTCCGGAGCTGGGAAAAGACAAAATGTAGATTTTAGCAGGAGGTGAGGTGAGGCAGGGAAGGACTTGGGAGTTGAAAATTATACAAATTTTCATGGAGATTTGGTTGGAGTCAAATTAAATTAACATGAATGCCGAGTAAATAAAGTGTTTTGTTGTTATCACTTTTGGGCGCAGGTATTTTGTAGCTATGTTGGCTGTTTAATGGTGTGGTTACAAGTAATTGAAATCTGCGTTATTTTAGGAGGTTACAAACATGGGATGCTACATTGCACAGTGACCTCCCAATTTAAAGATTTGGACTGATTTCACATCTGAGTGCATTTCTATGATCTGGGTATATCCCTGTTCTGATAATTGTCAGTGCTTGCCTTTAAGGATTATGTTGTTCTCAACAATAATTCATATTTGTATTGTTCCTTTAATGCAATAAAGAATGTACTTCACTTGAGAATCACAGAACAAAGTACCAGTCTGAGGCATTTGAGGATCTCTTAAGTCAGGTGAACAAATGAGGATTAAGGATTGCCTTAATTTGAATATGGTGCGTTAGCTTTCATTAATAGAGGGATTGAGTTCAAGAGCCATGAAGTTATGCTCCAGCTATACAAAACCCTGGTTCGGCCACATCTGGAGTATTGTGTCCAGTTCTGGTCACCTCATTACAGGAAAGATGTGGAAGCGTTGGAAAAGGTGCAGAGGAGATTTAGCAGGATGTTGCCTGGAATGGAGGGAAGGTCTTACGGGGAAAGGTTGAGAGAGCTAGGGCTTTTCTCTTTAGAACGACGAAGGATGAGAGGTAACTTGATAGAGGTGTACAAAATGATCAGAGGTATAGATAGAGTGGATAGCCAGAGAATTTTTCCTAGGGTGGAGGTAGCTATTACGAGGGGGCATAGTTTTAAAGTGAGTGGAGGTAGATATAGGGGAGACATCAGAGGTGGGTTCTTTACTCAGAGAGTGGTAGGGGCGTGGAATGCATTGCCGGAGAGGGTAGTGGAGTCGGCCTCATTAGGGGCATTTAAGCGGCTATTAGATAGGCATATGGATGACAGTATAAGGTAGGGGTGGAGGTTAGATAGACCTTAGGTCGAGGGTAAAAGTTCGGCACAACATCGTGGGCCAAAGGGCCTGTACTGTGCTGTACTGTTCTATGTTCTATGTTCTAAATAGCTAAACAGCCTCCAGGGTCAGTGACGTACAGATAAACTGAAGCCTAGATCCATGCAACGATGAGTAACATTGAAAGGCTGTAGAGACTGGGCTATGGCAGTGCGAGTCTCAACAGAGTCTGAGGTTACTGGGAGGGCCACGAGAGGTCTATCCAGGCCCTGCTATTGGTCTGGGTCTGACTCCTGGGACCTGTCCAATGGAAGACTGTTCTTGAGATGGACCAGCGGGGTACAGTGTGGGCAGAATGATCAGCGGCGCAGACTTTGGCAGAGCTGGCAGCATGCTTACTCTGGGCAGCCTGGTGGAGGCTTTGGAGGGTGGGATCCTTTGGAGAAAGGTCAGGCCCCGCTGATACTGTGCTGCCTCAGAGTGAACTTGCTGGGGGTGGGTGAACCTGTGTGAGCTACCCTGCCAGGCCCAAAGCCTACTTAATCATCCACTGTTCGGTGCTCACTTGGGGGCACTGCTGGGATCTTACTGTGCAGCTGGGGAGCTGGAGGAGGCCTCCTGGTAATAGCCAGAGAATTGATGATATCTTCCCTAAACCAACAGGATGGGGTGACAAGTGGGATGATAGGGGAGATAACACGTGGGTGGAATCTGATTAATGAATGAGCAGGGCTTGAGGGGCCGAATGGCCCACTCCTGTTGCAATTAATTGATTTGATTTATTGTCACGTGTACCTAAGTACAGTGAGAAGCTTTGTTTGTGAGCAGTACAGGCAGGTCATAGTAAGCAATGACATACAGATCATAGGGGTGAAAGAAAAACTTGAACAGAGTGAGGCGTGTAGGTTACACTGCACTGGGTGTGTGTGAGGCCAGATCAACATTAACAAGATCAACATTATTTGAAGTTAGAGAGTCCAGTCACCAGTCTGATAACGGCTGGGAAGAAGCTGTTCTTGAACCTGTTGGTGCACGTGTTCAGGCTTCTGTATCTTCTGCCTGATGGAAGAAGTTATCGGAGATCATTACCTGGGTGGGATGGGTCTATGATGATGCTGGCAGCCTTTCCGTGGCAATGAGCTGTGTAACTGGAGTCCATGGATGGAAGGTTATCTTCCGTGATGGTCTGGGCTGTGCACACCACCTTCTGTAGTTTCTTACAGTCCTGGGCAGAGCGGTTGCTGTACCAGGCCGTTATGCACCTGGATAGTTTGCTTTCAATGGTGCATCTGTAGAAGTTGGTGAGGGACCTTGTGGACATTCCAAATTTCCTGAGTCACCTGAGGAAGAAGAGGCGTTGTCACATCTATGTGGGAATTCCAGGACAGGTTGTCAGTTATCGTCACTCTGAGGAACTTGGCGCTGTCCACCCTCTCAACCTCAGTTCCATTGATGTAGATGGGGGCATGTTCTCCTCCTTTCTTTCTGAAGTCAATGATCAGTTCTTTAGTTTTGCTGATGTTGAGAGAGAGAGGTTGTTATCATGGCACCATGACACCAAGTCCCTCTATCTCCCTTCTGTATTTTGACTTATCATTGTTAGGTATCTATCCCACTACAGTGTCCTCAGCGAACTTGTAGATGGCGTTTGTTAGGAATTTGGCAACACAGTTGTAGGTGTACAGGGACTACAGTAGGGAGATGAGGACGCATTCTTGGGATGGGGGGTGGGGGGGGCTCCAGTTTGAGTGTTACTGTGGAGGAGGTACAGTTACCTATCCTCACTGATTGCAGCCTGTGTGTCAAAAAGCTGAGGATCCAGTTGCAGAGGATAGAGCCAAGACCAAGGTCACACAGTTTTGAGATCAGTCTGGAGAAGATAATGGTGTTGAAGGCGGAGCTGTAGTCAACAAGCAGGAGTCTGATGTAGGTGTCTCTGTTGCCCAGATGTTCCAGGGATGAGTGCAGGGCTAGGGATAGGGCATCCTCTGTGGCCCTGTTACATCGGTAGGCAAATTGTAGGGGATTGAGGCAGGCTGAGAGACTGGAGTTGATGTGGGCCATGACCAGCGTCTCAAAGCACTTCATGATTATTGAGGCCAGACCCACTAGGCAATAGTCATTAATGCACCTTGCATGGTCTGATTCATTAACCATCAGGGTTGAGATCTGGAAATATTCTCGAGTGCTGGTGAGTGACCAGGGCGGTAAGATTCCATTTACCATATCTGAAGGTTGTGTTACTGGGTCCTATTTCTGGGATTCTGTGTCCAGAATTCAGATGACAATCTCAGTGCGGTTCTGATGGTGTGCTGTCTTTCAGATGAGATATTGAGCCAAATCCCCATCTGGCCTCTGAGGGGTGATGTGAAAGCTCCTGTGATACATTCGAAAAGGAGCAGGGACCTCTATCTGAGTATCCTGGTCAATACTTACCCCTCGATCAATGTCATGACAAATGCACAGTACCTGCTCGTGATCACAGTGCTGTTTGTGGAATCTTGCTGTGCATAAATTGGCTGTTATGTTTCCAAAGTCACAACAATAACTATACCAGAAGTTCTTCACCTTGAGTGTGCAAAAGGCACTTTCTAAATGCAAGCCTGAATATTGAGGAGAAAGTAATGTACAATTAATAAACAGGTTGAGGAGGGTCTGGTCTTTCTGATGATAAAATCCATCACACACCATTTACTGATCAATCGTTTGTGGAGCACCTGCCCCTTTCTAGGTCCACTTGGTTGGTTCCAAAGATGAAAGGCTTGTCTTAAGAGAGAGATTGAGCAGTTTAGGCTGATACTGGCTGCAATACTCTCTGGAGTTGAGCAGAATGAGACGAGATATAATTGAGATATTAAGATATTAAATAAGAACGTAAGAACTAGGAGCAGGAGTAGGCCATTTGGCCCCTCAAGCCTGCCCCACCATTTAGTAAGATCATGGCTGATCTTTTTGAGACTCAGCTCCACTCACCCGCCCACTCACCATAACCCTTAATTCCTTTACTGTTCAAAAACTTATCTAGCCTTGCCTTAAAAACATTCAGCGAGGTAGCTTCAACCGCTTCACTGGGCAGGGAATTCCACAGATTCACAACCCTTTGGGTGAAGAAGTTCCTCCTGACCTCAGTCCTAAATCTGCTTCCCTTTATTTTGAGGCGATGCCCTTTAGTCCTAGTTCCACCTGCTAGCGGAAACAACCTCCCTGCCTCCACCTTATCTATTCCCTTCATAATCTTATATGTTTCTATAAGATCTCCCCTCATTCTTCTGATGTGTTGATAAAGTAGATGTAGAGAAGATGTCTCCCCTTATGGGGGAAATCTAGAATAGGTCTAGGATAAGGGCTAGCAGATTTAAAACAGAGATGAAGCGAAATTACTTCTCTCAAAGGACTGTGAAACTGGAATTCACTGCCTCAGAGTGAGGTGCATGTTGGGACGTTGAGTAAGTTTAAGGAGGAGACAGATTTTTAATCAGTAACAGGTTGAAGGGTCATGGAGAGCAGGCAGGAAAGTGGAGTTGAGGCTGAAAAGAGATTGAGAATGATCGTATTGAATCATAGAATTCCTACTGTGCCTAAAGAGGCCATTTGGCCCATCAAGTCCACATCGACCCTCTGAAAAGCATCCCACCTGGACCCAGCTTCCCATCCTATCTCTGTATTTCCTTTGGCTAACCCACCTAACCTGCACTCCACTGGATACTATGGACAATTTCCCGTGGCCAATCCACCCTAACCTGCACTCCACTGGATACTATGGACAATTTCCCGTGGCCAATCCACCCTAACCTGCACATCCCTGGGCATTATGGGACAATTTCCCATGGCCAATCCACCCTAACCTGCACATCCCTGGGCATTATGGGACAATTTAGCACGGCCAATCCACCCTAACCTGCACATCCCTGGGCATTATGGGACAATTTAGCACGGCCAATCCACCCTAACCTGCACATCTTTGAATGATGGAGCAGGCTTAAGGGGCTGAATGGCCTCCTCCTGCCCTGAGTTCCTACATTTTTATGTTTTTATCCTAGTACCCTTCACATTAAATCGCCTGTCAGCACCAGTTGTGCCTGGCAAAGGATGATGATGTGTATCCCGACATATTCTGAAAACAATATATCGATTTTCAATTAGACGGAGAGCTTAGTATTGACTCAGTCAATCTGCACAGAGATCGCTTCAGGATCATTTTGGAATCTCTACGTTTGTCCCTTTTATTCTAAAAGAATTCCATTCCATTCTTTGACAAGTCTATATTTCAGATTTTGTATCAACTCTGGCAATTTGAGAATTTGAACTTTTTGTTTTACAAAGCTGGTAATGTGACTGTGAAATTGTGGCTTTGTTGTACTAGAATCATAGAGCTCCTACAGTGTGGAA